AGAAGCCATTATAAAGAATTGGGGAAAGATTTAAAGGCCTTGTGAGGTATCCATGGAAAAAATTAAAAATAATAAAAATAAAATCCATCAAGTAGTTTGAATTAAGTAGGATAAAAAACCAAGAAAATTGAGTTAATTTATCCTATATAGCTTATATTTGTCTGATAATGGTAGTAGAATATAAATAATCCATTTATGCAACTTCAAGTCTTTTAACATGTTAATACTTTAAGGTACTTATGCTTTAGAGATAAAAAAATATTATCCTTGAGATAAATATATAATTATTCTAATACATATATCACTAAGAATTTTTCACTACTTTTAAATTAAAAAATATTAAACTTAATATTTACTTCAATCATTTAATTAAAATTTTAAAATTTCTATATCTAATAAAATTTAATTTAATTAAAGTATTATTTGATTAATAATATATATTTATTTAATTATAATAGTATTTAATTAATTCAATATAATTAATAAATATTAATAAAGATATTTTTGCTTCCCACCCACAAACAACTAAGTATTATAGTTATATATGAATAAAGTAGTACAATATTATATTAATACCTTAAACTAAACAATACTTGTAATTTAGTAATATTTAATGTAGTGAATTCAAATAAAAATAGTCTTTTATAAATTATTAAGATAAAATTTTATTTTTAAAAAATTAATTAAATATAAATAAATATGTAAATACATATTACCATAATTCTAATTTCTTAAAAGTTGTATTTAAACTAAATAAATTTATCTACTTCAAATAACATATCTATTATTAAGTATTACTAATTTTTAATTTTAGAATTTGAAAAGTAATACATATATAATCTATTATAACTTATTATGATTAGATAAACTATCTTAGAGAATTCTTACATCTTCAATATGTTTGACAGGAAATACCAAAAATATTAATTTAAAGATAAAGATGTTGTAGGTAGGTTCACATTTGAGTTTGTTCTGATATAAACTTTATTTTTTTTTATATCTAATCAAAAGATTTTTATGATGAGTTTTTGAAAATTAAATTACATAATTTTTTATTTAAATCATTTTATACCTTATATATATATATATATATATATATATATAATGTAATACTAAAACAAATTGCCTGATATGTAAGACTTTCTACTATCAATTAGATTGCTAGCAGTTCAAATCTATGACTAAAAACATTGTAAGACCAAATTACATTTGGTCTAAAAGAACAAAAATATTTAATAATCTAATTTTACTATTAATAAATTACTCACAGTAAAGATTGTGTCTTATTTTATTTTATTTATTTATCTAAATAAAATTTGTGGATTTAAATAAATTTACAATACTATTAAAATCAATAGAATATATAAGATCAAATTTACAACAAGAAGCACAAGAAAAAATGTTCTTGGACGTACTAAAATCCTAGTACAAGCTGCACAAGTACTATATATATATATATATATATATATATATTAATATATTCTAATTTAATTGAAAAAAGCATCCTGGCCTACCTTCTTTTCAATCTATATGTTTTCAACCAATATTTCTTTATTAATTAATTAATTATTATTAGTATAATATTTTATAATTTGGTGGTGATAATATAATTTATTTATTAATTTATTTATCTTTTTTACCAAATATGCAATAAAAAAAGAAAATTCGAAATTATATTTTTTAATTTTAGATTTAATAAAAATAATAAAAAAAAATTCGAAAATTTAAAATAATATAAAATAATATAAGAATTATAGATGCAATTAAGTAAATATATATATATATATATATATATATATATATATATATATATATATATTTTAAATCTTCTTCTAATAAAAATTATATATATGCATTATATTAATTTGGATACATTATTGTAATTTTATTTGGATTCAAAATACAATCTAATACAGAAAATTAAAGAATCATAAGAGGAGACCATCTGGATGTACACTTTATTCTAAACTAATAAAAAATTGCATAATCTTATTTGTAAGGAAGTGTGTGTTAGGTTATCTTGTGGGAGTAATAATAAAAAGAACCAAATTTGAGAAGAGTGATCTTTGATTTGTCTCAACTAAACCACCAACAAAAATAAATAAATAAATAAATAAATAAATAAATTTAGATATGCAAATAATTGAAAACCATAATCAACCAAGTTCAAAATGTAATTAAGTAGATAGTCCCATGTAACATTTCTAGTTATAATCGTGTAGTCTTAATATTTAATTTTAGAAAGTTGAAAAATAAATACTAACAAAAAATGATAGTACAATGATGATCTCAAAATATAGATAATATATAATTTTTTTATTGATAAGATTATTTAACATAATGAAATCATTATAAATAAAAAAATAATTATTTAATCTGGGATATAAGTAGTAAGGGTAAAACAATTGGATTAAAATATTAAAAAATTAATAATTAATAATAATACCAATCACAAACTTATTCTTCTTGTTTTGCATATTGTATTTGTATATGTTTTCTTTTCTTTCAGAATAATAGGTTTTTCAAAACATTGTGGTTACATAGATTTACTTGTAATAAAACTCTAAAAAGATTTTCTTTTATTCTAAAGTTATTTATAATTAAATTTTTTGTATCCAAAATATTTGAGCAATATTTGTATATAAAATTAATTTAAAGTTATTTTTATTTTTAGTAAATTCTATTAAAATATAAAATCTATTAATTCTTATTTTAAAATTATCATATTTTTCTACTAAATTTAAATGTGTTATGATAACCAAATTTACAATATCTAAGATGCCATGTGCATATTGCTTAATTTTTAGAAAAAAATTGTCTATATGTTTTTTTTATTTGATTTTATCCATAGTATTTAGTCTTGTGACCAAATTTTAAAAATGTATGTTACAAATTGAGCACACCAATTCATAAATAAGAATAATATTTTAATTCTAAAATACTTAATATGATTTTTTTCTCCTTATAAATATAAATAAATAAATAAATATATATATATATAGAAAAAAAATCAATATTAGTTTTTTTCAATGAATAAAATCTCTATTATATGTATCTTTTTAATACATTGATTCTTTTTTTTCTTTTTTTTCTTGCACTATATTTGTTTAAACAATAAAAACTGAAAGAAAATCTTTGTAATTCTCTCTTTTTGATTATGAATCCTATGCTTAAAAGAAACAAATCTCTGGAGTTAAAAATCAGATCAAAATAACTTGAAATAAAAATTCCATATTCTTACTGCTTGTTTCATTTTAAGCTTTAAGATATTAATTGTAATGAAACCATTTTTGAAATTTTAATTTTAGTGACTTATTTTTATCATAATAAAGATTAAAAAAATTTGTGAAAAACTTTGTTAAGATTCAAAAATGCTTTTCTAAACTTATCTCATCTAATTCTTATTTCTTTAATTTTTCAAAACTTTTGTAGGTAGATGATCTCCAAAAAATTATATTTAAAAAAATTTCACTTTTTTCTTCTATTTTTATCCAAATCCATCTTGTCTTATTATTACAATCTAAATTAATCCCAGGTAATGCCATGTCTACACAATTAAAAGGTTTGTCTAGAATTTAGCATGTATTTATTATAAATACTCATGTATTGTAGACTTTTTTATGAAACTTACCAATATGTTGGTTTGTAAAAGATAAAGACATCTATACATTTTAAATTTCATGTATGTAGTCTTTCTTCGAAAAGATTTATAATGATAAATAACATAGTATTTTTATAATTATACATACATTTGAGTTATAGGAGCAAAAATGTACTTAAATATGTATTTATTTTATTTTATTTTTTTACTTAAATTCAATGTTATTCTCCATTTGTTTCCACAACCAAATTACTCAAACTATTGAAACTGCTTTGACTTATCCAAAAACTTATCAAAAAACCCCAACTTTAGCTTTTGAAGTGTTGTAACATGCCGATGTATATTTATGGGTTTATGCCGAAACACTAACTTCCACGATAACCCTTCCAAGTCCATGCCAATCTAAACAAGTAATAAGAGACTGTTGCAATGGGATTGTGGTGCAAATCATGCATGAGGTCAAATCTGAAAGCTATTCATTTCGCTCCCCAACTGGAATCAGTGTGGAATTCAAGTAAGAAGCTCACTTGAACAATGAACCCTAGAAAACAATGACCTACATTGACACCTAAAGAAATCTTTGCCAATGGAGATGAACAACTGCTTCTCTAGTTTGCTGAAATGGTCAGATAATTGTTGAAAGTTTTCGGTGGACACATCAACTCGTTCTGGAATCTTAAGAACAAAGAGCACTAAGACAGTTTCCTAAAACACAAACGCACTCGCAAGCAGCACTCCAGGGGCAACACCCACCAAACAGTATTACTACATGAGACTGTAACGAAGTGAATCAATGCAGCAGACGTGGGGTCCCAGCTTAGAGCACGGACCCGAGTGAGGTGAAGCTGGGAGCCCGGTCAAATCAAGCCAGATGCAGTTCCTGTAAGGTCATAACATCACCTGCTAGATGTCCTCAATCTAAAGCTTTTAGGGCTTTGAGTGGTCCAGTGCGGTGTGCCATCTCTGTTGAAGTTTCTTCATGTTCACTCCTGCGTGTTCACGCATGTTTGTGTGCACATGCTACAACTCCATTTCACTGATTGCCATATCTTCCGCCGAATCTCATGAAAGCTGAGAGAATGCTTCGCTAAACTTTCAAACAAGAGCATTCGAACAGGACATTGAGGATATCGGACTCTCATCACCTTTGAAGTCCTCCGTTGACAGGAGATAACCCAGATCATCTGAAGGAGAGCTAACGCCAGGAGCTAATATGAGTTTCTCTCGCTATATACTACTGGGAAACAGTTAGCGTACTTCATGTGACTAGACTAACAAAAAGCTGAATCCGCGATTCCAAATCTTGCCAGAAAAATATACCTATGCACGTTCTAGAGCATTGATAAAAGTGGTGCGTGAAAGAAAATGTGGACCACACCCAAGAGGTGAAAAAGCAAAATACATGGAATGCAGACAGAGTTGCAATTTTCATGATATTAGTTCATTTGGCTCAAAATTGAACTCCAATGAGAAGCTGCAAAATAGATTTGAGAAGCTAGCACCTCAAAAATACTCTGTCCATTATTTCAACAGATCTACAATGATTCTGCTATTACAATGAATGTATCCTGGTAGCGACTTTTATTCACGTTTTTGAAGTTCAGAGGAGGATTTACAAGGCCTTCTGAATGACGACAGCATTGAACAGACTAGCTGCCTCTACGGATTGCTTCATGTCCGTCAAGGGCTTGGGAGGAAAGCCCATAGCTTGAAGAGAGTAAGGTCCGACATTTCCTGGTCTAGCAGCGTCTATAAAGCCTCGAATATCCGCAATAGTGTGTGTGTGGTTGAAACGAGCTACCATACGAGTTCCATCCGAGAGTCGAAGCTGCAGTATATCTTTAACGTAAGCATATGTAACATGATCTCAAAAGGTGATCAAAAAGCATATTGAAAAACCTGTATATTTACAAACAAGTAGATTCGAACAGCATCTCAAACACACTTGAGGCAACATATACACCGATTAAGCGACGGTTGCTAAAGAAAAATATGGTTGAATGACAGAGGGAAATGTGGTTGAAAACGCACCTGAATAGAAGTTGAAGGTTTGGACTCGTCCACAACTAAACCTTGAATTGGTTGATTGGCTGCTTCTAAACCAGAGGCAGCCGAAGCTGCAAGTGATTCGGAGACGGGAGCGGGCGCAGAACTTCCTAAAGTACGACCTGTACCTCCAAACGCAACATACTTCGGCTGCGGAGGAGCCTGAAACAATTCAATTGAGATTAGATTCATACATGACAACGTCAAGGGAACTATGGTAAGTGAGAAAGAAGACAGTCTGAAGCTCAGTACAAACAAATTACAATTAATGACTGATAAGCCCATGCCATTTATCGAACTTTAAAAGGATATGTGACGTGTTCAGTGCATTTGCAAGCAAAAACAATCATTGGACTCAAGAGGTCTCCAGATTCTTTCACTTTCCAGATCAAAGATTAAATGTCAGGTAATACCTCCCACTCTTCTTCTTTCTTAACAAGATTCACATGTACTTGGGTACTACGATCAGCAGGCTCCAATTCTTTAGGACATTCCCCTTTATTGATGCTCTGCAAACACCAGGAAGAAAAGCAATTTTATATAAAAAAAATCTAGTATGAAAAAAATCCAGTTAATGCATGAAAAAAGTGATTCATCGCCTACGTCAACGCAATAACAGAACCAAAAGTCATGCTAAGGAGTTTCACAGAGAAATCGTGGTCATTCAGTTTCGATCTTGACAACCAGAAATGGTTACGACCGTGGACAACCAAGTATTGCATACCAAACAGAAAAGTGTCCCTCACATCTAAGAACGGCTCATTAGCGGGATCATCAAGCCTCCTCAGAGGTCCATCATCAACAGTGAACCCATTTCTCCAGAAAGTAATCGTATGAAATACTGGCTCTGGTGGGGCACGAGCTCCGGGCCGTGCAGGAGAAGCTGTTGGAGCGGGTTGTTCAGATTGTCGTGGCTCGCCACTTAATGTGCGTGAAGAACCTGCAAAGGCTCCTGATCTATTGCTAGAAGAAGGTGGCTGCGGTGGCTCGGCCCTCCCTTCTTGAGCACCAAATCGTCGCACACGATCAAACATAGCATCCACGTCCCGAGGGCCTCGTTTGCTGGGGTCTTGCACCATCATGCCACTGCATACACCCCACCAAACATTCATTTTTGCACAGGAGAGCTAGTTCAGGCGTAGAAGCTCTTCCGACATTTTGTAAAACAGAGCAAACGCGCAATATAACCAAACCGATCACTTGGCACTTTTCGAACACTTGACTGTTTCAACTTCGTATTGCATGTCGAAGCCTAAAAAATCAAAGACTTACTGCATATTCAATAAAATACAAGGGAAAACACGACAAGAGAGACCTGAGGACTAAAACAGAAGCGAGGTTCTCAATAGCAGCGGCGATAACGTAATCACAACTTCATATCTGCAAACCCTATGGTATGGGGATAGAAATAACTACAGACACAAATTGGTATCCAAAACGGAAAGGAGAAATCTTTTGAGTCATGCCTCAAACTTCTGCATCATCCACCTTATGCAATTGTCAATCAAGATCACGATGAGTCGAAGACACTCGGATATAACCAGATACCAATTACAATCTCTCACCTTTTCTCACCGCCCGTGTAATACTCCTGCGGCCCTTCATCAGAATCCTCGTCGGACTCCGCTTGACGACCCAGATCGGACAGAGTCGTAATTCCACCCCGACCCGACGAGCTACCTTTTTTCTTCTCCTTCCCCTTGGGCTGACCACTCCCAGGAAATCGCCCTTGCCCCTGCGTCACCCCCGCTCCCGTCGACCTAGCTGGCCATCCGTCAGGCACCTGACCTAACCCTTGATCCTGCGCTTGAGCTGGAACCGGCGCCGATGGGAAGCTCATCTCCTCATCGTCATCCTCCTCCCGCTCGGTCCGCGCCACCGCAGGGAGTCCACCGCCACTCATCCCATCATCCGACGCTTCAAAGAACGAGATCAGAGCTGCGTCCAGCTCCCAGTTAGCGCTCTCAAGAAAGAAGCGCGCCTGCGCGTCGGTCGCCCCCGTCACCCCCAAGAAGCTACTCACCACATCGTCTTGCTCTCCACCTCCCATCGCTGCAAAGCGGATCGAATTACAGGAGATTGATTGCGCAATTGATAGCAAGGGAAAGAGAAGCGAGTGTGTCTGTGATGAAACCCTAGTGACCCTGACTGTTGAGATCCCTCCCTACAAATGCCCTCCACACTCCACACTCACAACGCTTCCTTTTCTCCACCGACCCCGTCCTCCTCTTCGTCGTCTTCTTCTTCTTCCCTGTCTCCCCCCTTCTAGGGTTTTCTGCTTTTTCTTTGCGGGACGGGCAGCTCTGGAAAACTTTTTGCCTGCTCGAACACGTTCCGTCCGGGCTGGTAGATACTTGGGTTGTGCGTTTTCGCGGGTATAAACTCTGTGTGGAGAACGCGTTCCGTCTGGACTGATTGATACTTGAGTTGTGCGCTTGTTGCGGGTATCAACTCGGTGTTGAGAGCGATCTCTTTAATGCAGTTTCGTCGGACTGTTCAATGCACCTCGTTGAGGTTCGTTTCGTTCTGTGTTGAGTAAATTGAAAGTTTAGTAATTTGCTTAATATTGTGAGTTGTTTGAAAATATTGTTGTTGGGAAATGCATGTAGATTGATTCATTTCATAGAAATTGGTTTATATTAAAATCCGTTATGATTGATCCTTGATGATTGTATAATAATTGAAAGAGATTCAATACACAAAAGTCTGTTTGTTTTTTATTTTGTTTTTTTTAATGGAATAAATTAAATTAAAATGATCATTATCCAAAAAATCGTCATTCTAAATTAAAAATAGTATAATTCTTTTATGATTAGACATTTCAAACATTCTCAATGATTATAAAATTTTAAAACTTGCATATATATATATATATATATATATGGTCAAGATTGCAAAATATAGGAATATTATTATTTATCCTATTTCTCATGAAAACTTAATAAACAACCTTTAACATTGTAAGTAATATTTTACTTGTATTGATTGTGCAATGATATAGTGTGAAAACTAAAATAATTTAAAATAATTGAATTTATACAAATAGTATTTCTATAGATTTTAAAAATACTATCATTTTCATATAATAAGTATTATGATGTTTGTATTCTAAATAAAATATCCCATTTAAACTTGAAATCATTATTATATTAAACTAAATTTAAATCCAATCTCAAAAATAAATTAATTTAATTATAATTTTATCATAAGATACTTTGAATATAATTTTATTATAAAGTAATTTATTAAAATAATTTATTAAAATATTTTTTGTAATAATTTTAATTATTATTTTTTTTCTTATATGATAAAATAGTAATATATTTTTTTGTCTATTTCCAAAATAAAAAATAAAAAATAAAATACAACTTTTTGTATCTATTTGTTGATTCTATGTTTTACAAATAAATCAAATAAATACAACTATGAAGTGAAATATTGAAAGCCCTTGTAATCTTTATTGTTAGTGAAGTATCCAATCTTTTGTCAATGGCAATGCATAAGGATGGAACTTCAAATTCTACAGGCAAAATGGCTTCTATTTCATATACCAAAAAAAGATATAGTTTATAATTATGTAGTCTCTAATTCAAATCTCAATAGAAACATATGAAGTACCAAATATTGAGCTAGTGACTAAGTAAAAAGTTGCTACATATGGAGATATATTGAATCTAAACCAATTTTTTTTTTTTTTTCTATCCTTAGATCAATGTCTTAGTAATTTTCTTTTTAAATTTTATTTCTTCTATTAGATAATAGTATATATTTTTATTTTTTTATAGACTATATTAAAAACAACAATTGAGTTTTCACTATGTTTATAAATAGTCCTAGATGGTCGCCATATGTGAGTTCTACTAATGCATCTTAATTGGTGGATTGATTAAAAACATAATTTTGAGTCATTTAATTATAAAATATTAATGTTAAAGAATATTTTTTATTATTTAAGTATTTATTAGAATTTTGAAATCTTTATAAGTTACAAAAGTCTTATTAGAAGAAAGGTTATAAAAATGGAGTCTCAATAAGTCTTGGAGGCAATTATGTTAGTTGTTTTAATACTTTTATTTATTATTAAGTATTAAAGATTAGTTATTGAGACTAAAATCTTTATTGGCTTCTTATTTATATGTATTACTTATAAAAATCCTATCAATGATTAATTAGTAGTTAAAAGAAGCATGAAAGAGAATTTCATATTTTTTTAGTTACTTATATATAAAATATAATTTTTAATAGATTGAAATTAATTTTATTATTATAATAATACAATAAATAAGAAAATATAGTCTTAAGTAGATATTAATATTATAAAAATATTATAGGATTTTTTAATATATTGATTCTTTTTTTTCTTTTTATCACAAATTACAAGAAACTCTTAATTAAAGCCATTTTGTAATTTGAGTTAAGAGAAAAAATTACCTTTATAAATTCTAAGAGTAGATTTATTGGAGCTATTTATTACATAAGCCATTGCATGCAACAATCAATTCTTTAAAAGATGGTAAGAACAAATATTTGATTAGAGAAGTATAAGTCAAGCTTTAGTGACACTTTCTAAGTTTTCAGAAGCTTACTTATTCAAGGTAGAGCTTACACATATCAACATGATATATTTTAAATTACTTATTGAGAAAGATAAAACTCGTCATTATCAAAAAGATTTACACTTGTATTGTAGAGAATCCAAGTACACTACTCAAAATTATTTAAAGAAGCAACACAATCAAAAAATGAGAAGCATGGTTTTTAAAGAGAATAGTGTATTAAAAAATAAGTTTCTCCAATTATAATATAGACCGTGAGGCTAGAATCTTGTGTAATTTCTAATAAAGGTCCTATTCTTTCTTTAGATATCTCATCTTGTTTCACAATAGAAGTTTATTTAAGATCAAAAAACCACAAAGTTTTAGTCTTGTTAGATTGAAATCACAAAGTTTTAGCCTTCTTAGATTGAAATCACAAAGTTTTAGCCTTGTTAGATGAAATCACAAAGTTTTAGCCTTGTTTTATAGATAAAGATTTTGTCAAAAAATAAAAAATATTATTAGTTAAAAAAATTAATTCTATATATATAGAAATCATAGATAATTGTTTGGTATATTTTAGAGATATTATTTGTAAGACTATTCTTTTAAATATAGTAATTAAAGATCATAATAGCATAGCAATATTTAATTTGATAAGATCTTCTTTCAACCTAATTATTTTAGGATTATTATGGTTAAAAAAAATATAATCCTTAAATAGATTAAATTTCTTTTAATTTTATTTTTTCTTGTAATTTGATCCAAAATTCCATTAGTCAAGTAAAAATACATAAGTCTAATATATTTAAATTCTTATTTGTAGATATAAGAGCTTTTATGCATGCTATAAAAAAAAGATCATCATTTGTAATATATGCCATGTCTATTTTTAGTTGTGAAAAGACATCAAATTATATTCTTAGCCAAAATCAAGATTTTTAGGACATTTTTGAGAAGATAAATGCAGATATTCTTCTAGAGCATGAACTCTATGATTGTTCAATTGATTTGCAAGAAAGACCTTGACTACCATTCAAATTGATCTATAGATTATTGTAAAATAGATTAGTTACATTAAAAGAATATATTGATAAGAATTTATTGACTTGAGGTAAGATTACACTCTAATCTTTTTAAATTGACATATCAAGACGATAGTAATAAATAGAAGGACTTTAAGAATGACGTCCTTCAAAGCCAATGAAGGTTTCAAAATAAACTTGTCTAGTTAATGAAGGCTTTGAAAAAAAATGACTATTTTTATTAAAAATCAAAATTTAAATGAAGCTCCCATCTCCTATAGAAACTGGTAGATACACTTTAAGACTTTGGTATACTTAATATAGCAAATTAGAATATATAAGCTAATTTTGCTCAAACTAGCAAAATTATCATTAGAATCAAAGAGGATTACAATCATATATTTCACCTCATAGGAGCCAAAGTATGGTGGATTCCAATTCTCAATTCCAACCTTAAAAATGTTTCATCCAAGGCTTTAAGAACCAGCAACAATAACAACAAGAGGTGCACTACTTTTGTAGAAAAAAGCCACCCATTGGGTAGTTGTTGGATAGAGAATGGAGTAGTATGTAAAATTTTTAGGAAAAACCATCCAATGCATGTATGTAAACAACTTCATAAGATAGCCTTCTTAAAATTTTCAAAAATAATTTCAAGTTCATTTGAAGGTAGCAAGAATCTTAAATTTAGATAATATTTTAAGACCTCCTAATCTATTTTATGATTATAATAATGATCATCAAATCCAACATCCTCTCTTAGGTTTAAATATACAAGGAAGAATTATTCCATTAAATGATGGTCAACTTCAATATGGCCAACAAAACAAAGAACAAAATTCACAAGTTGTAAGGTATTTAGAAATACATTTAAGGAATAAGGTTCTCAAATCAAAGATTAGCCATCATCTTTTCAAATAAATTATATCTTCTATAAAGAATTTTTTAGTAAGAATAAAAAACTTTTTTAATACGTTGGCCTTGGTAGTTATGATAAAGTCTAGGTATACTAGTCTTCTTCTTCCTACTTTGATAGAGAGTGAGAATAGCTTAGAGGATTTTTTTCACTTATTTGATCTAATAAAAGCCATAAAAGAGAGGAAATGAATAACATAAAGAAGTCAAAAACATTTCTTTGAAATTTTCAATCCAATTCTCTTTAAAAATCCAAAATAGTAAAAGATTTTTTTTCTCTTAAAAATTGAGGATCCAAAAAATCTTCTGATTTTTAGAAAAATTTGAATGAAATTTAGGCTGATATAATCATTGCTCATTTATTGGAGGTTTTTCTAAAAATTAGAAGACTTTTTAAAACAAGCCTATTTATTAAAAGACATCAAAGTCCTAATACAAAAATCTAAGTCCATACAAGAATAATTTAAGGAATATATGAAGTCAAGACAATTGAATTGGAAGTATTAATAGTTGACAAGATCATTTATTACATGATTGTGGATTGAGATAGTAGATTAAATATAATGCTTGTATAAAATATAGAAAAGTTAGATCTTAGTATCACCAACCCTTCTTTCTATGTAATTAATATAGTTAAGTAAAGCTAAGACACTATCATGGGCCAAATAAGTAGATATAGGATGACAACAAAAGATGAAGAGTATTCTCTCACTTTTAATGTTATTCACATGCACCTGAGTAAGAACTCTTATTTCTTACTATTAGATAGATCTTGATCA